GGTACCGAAGAGCTCTCTCGTATACGTACAGCGAAGTAGGCACCTGGATAGCTGATGAAGTTTGACGATTAACAACACCCATCTATCTTATACAAAGGCTCCGCGATCTGGCTGCCGACAGCCGATCTGGAATTGCGCAACCAGATCGCCTAAAGTCTTTTTGGACCTTTCTCCCGCGGTTGCATGGGAGACATTGTTGAGTATGGCAGGGACAACTGCCGATGATCCATACCTGATGCAGGCGAGACTGAACCTAGGAACCCATAACATCGGTGTACTCTGTACCTGGAAGACACGCAGGCGCAATATCTGAACCGTTCTGCTAACTTTGATCTTACAATGCGCAGCCTTGGCTTTACCAGGCGTAATCTCGTAGCCCGTTGCTTGGGTACATGTATATTGTTGCTGACACATTTGCCTTGGCTAGCTACCTGGGTTTACATACAGCAGGACAATCCCATGCGATGCATGCCATCTACGGGTACTTGTAGCCTGCGCCGGAGTCCTGTTACTGGCCTTGCCCGTCTGGAGGACCCCGGCGTACGGGGCGAGTGGCCCGCAAAGCCCGGGAGACATCCGGAGGCTCATTCGTACGTGGCTTGCCACCTCCGTAGTCACAAAGGTTGTGTGTGGTAGATCGTTACGGAGTGTCGGGCGTAGATGCGCTTACAGGGATGGTGAGATTGCGCAGCCGCAGCGTGTTGCCAGGGTTTCTCGGTACTGTTTCTTGAATCGTGTCAGGACGGACATCACGCAGCGTGATCTTCCGACCACGCGAAGGATGCAAGGACGCCGCTCTCTCTTCTTTCAGCGTTGCGCGCCTGAACTCCGACACACGGACATGAATCGAGTTCTTCTCACTGTTTCCCCGGTGGCTAAATCATCAGTTTTGGTGGATGGCCGCCCTGACGCAACAGCACTGGAGCATCACCGTTTCTGGTCGGCCACAAGCCATTTAGTGATGCTTGCATCGGACTTTGACATACATATGTATAGTGAAGGATTCCATCTATGCGTCCGACGGAGCATGTTTTAGCTCTCGAATATACTCAGGTACATGCCATCTGCCTTGCATTCCAACGGCCATTCTTGCCCTACTGTATGTAGGCCGTTGCCCAGGTATGATCGGGCCGAATCTTGGTGCAGATCATGAATCTAGGCAGCCGATGTTCCTGATTACGACTGGAGTTCTAGTCTTGCTATCAACAATTGCCGTAGCTCTGAGGCGAGTACCTGCAGCATTGGCGACATCCTTGGGTAGTAGTAAGACACCGTTTGCTAACATCTGCACAGGCTTTACTGTCGCATCTTTCGCATCCGCAATGTTGGACTCGACGACTACTTTATGGTTGCTGCCCTTCTGGTCACGATTGGCATGGCGATTATGAATGGGTTTCATATCAGCTGGGGCACTGGGTATGGTTCGATGGTTGTAAGCGTATGTGCGTCGCTGACTACGACAGACAACATTTGAAGCACTTGGATGTGCCCTCTATGCGGGTTCCCACACTCAAGCATTTCTATTTCTACCAATTGGTATATCCTGTGGCACTGTTCTTTGTCAAGGCTAGTATATTGGCTTTGTACCATCGTATCTTTGAGCGGCTACAGTTTCGGTACAAAGTCTGGTCTGTAGCTGCATTTGTCACGATCTACACAATCGTGGTTCTCTTCGTCAGTGTGAGCTGTTCGTTACTCTGCGTCATCTGGAAATAACACTAACTCCTACAGGCTTTCGAGTGTAGACCCAAGCCATCACAAGCATGGTCACCTACGTTCCCAAAGGGATGCAACAATTTGCGAGCTACTTACTTGGCACTTGGAGGCATCAATATCCTTACTGATATCACAATCTTTCTACTGCCCTTTAAACCCTTTTGGAAGCTACAGCTGGACTCGAAGCGGCGATTTGCGCTCTTTGGTGTCTTCGGGGTTGGAGGCATCGCCGTCGTTGCGTCAATAGTAAGGGTTTATGCACTATGGCTGTACAATGTCACCAGAGATATATCGTACGATTCAATATTTGTGAGTAGCTTCCATTGTGGCCCTGATCGTCGAGATGCTGACCGTAACTCAGATTCTTCTTCTATCACAGATCGAAGTAAACGTCGCTATCATCTCCGCCTCGGTTCCAGCCTTACGGCCACTTCTCCGCAACACATCCCTAGACTTTAGTCAGCCGGAAGCGTATGGTAGCGGCTATCGACGTACAGTCAGCAGTGGATCCACCATTAATGGCCGAAGTGATCGCAATCTGATCGAGTCTAGCGGTCAAATTTCGCTTCTCTCGATGGAGAGGCGTAGGCCGGTGATAGAACGGAAAACCTCATGCGGAAGAGGAATGAATGGAACGAGCGAGGATTCGGATCAAAAGGACGATGGTATCACGAGGACAACGGAGACAACGATAGAATTTGAGCAGTTGCCTACCGACACCCTCCCACCCAGCAGGCGTTGGATGACTACAAGGCATCTGAATGGTACACGGTAGAAAAACAACATATGACACACTACACGATATAACGACTATGACTTTTAGGATCATGGGAACGTCACTATCAATGAATTGACCGTTTGTTCAAGCTTCAGACTTGACTTGAAGACCTCTTCCCACATTACACGCGCCAGAAAGATCGCATCAAGCAACGAGGCAAAGTGACGCATCCTAAAACCACAATCGCTGTGCGTTCTGAACTTCCGCATAACAACGACTCATTGTTCCACGTCACAGCTCCCTCGTGGTACCATGCTCAAAGAAGAAGCATCAACATGCCGGGAGCTAGTCCAAGAGCCCCGATCGCAAACAAGAACATTTCTCCAAAGCCTGAGGCACTTCCAACGCGAAGGCTGGCAGCAGCGCCGGAAAATTGTGCTGGAGTGGAGGTACTAGGCGATGCACTGGTGGTAGTTGATGTAGCGGCTTCCGAGGAAGTTGCATCTTCTGAAGATGTGGTCGCCCTTGATGATGACGAGGCAATCCTAGACGTTGATGCAGGGGCCAAAGTCGAACTCGGTAGTGGTGTTGCCTCAACCGTAGGCGTCTCTGACTGTGTCTCTAGAGCAACGCTGATCGAGGCACTGATAGATTCGGCCGCAGAATTGGCGGCGCCCACATCCGATGCTGTCAGCGAGAAGGTGGTGTAGTACGTCGTTTCCGTGGATGTGATCTCGTAGGTAGCCTCGAAGTAATAGTAGTAGTAATAGGTATAGTAGTATGTCAAAGAGTAGGTGTACCACGAGTAGTCGACAACAACAGGATCTGGGATTGAGGTTGCGGATGGTGCTGGTGTAATGGAAGCAGAGGGTGGATCACTTTGGTCAATGCGAGGGACTTCGGAGTATCCGTCAGGGCAGGTCTCGCCGGGTAGATGATAGTAGTCGCCTGTGCAGCATGTACCAGTAGGTGGGATGCATGGGAGATCGCCTGATAGTATTAGTCTCGGGTATGGCTCAATTAGAAAGGATATTCACCAGGGCATACTGGAATCCATCCAGGTGAGTTGCACTCTTGAAGCTGACGAGGAGAAACGCTAGGCACTTCCTTTAGAGGTCCCGCTTTGCCAGCGAATACGGAGTACGAGAAAGCGCTCAACAGCACTAGTGAATGAGCGAGCATGATTGCTAGTAAGAAGCCGGCTTTTTATGAGAACGAGAGATGGTGATGATAAGTGAGCTGGCTGTTGAGGTCCGTTGGTGAAACAACAGAATAGCCTTTCCAGCCTTCAGCAACCCCAGACTTTATACCACCATGTCGCCAAAAGAGCAGTAAACATAGCCTACCTGACAGCCTGCCTGGCAGCCTTCCGTGATCGCAGATGTCAGCTCTTCATCTCCACTGCTGCGGTTGTGCAATATCATGCTTGGCGACATGTCGTTGTTCCAGGAACTTCGCCAATGGGCCTTATTACGGCACGCCACGAGAATGAAGTGTACAACGCCACAACAGTCCCATTGGCTGCCCATGGACGATGCGAGAAATGCGAGGAAACACGTGAAGTGTACCTGGGGGCCGAAATCGGATTGGCCAATCAGCTATGGCCTTGGTCGCTACACAATATTGAAAATAGTGCTGTAGGTCGTATAAACCTTCAGCCGCAGTCCCTACACGGTGAAGATGTCCATTGTACAGACCGGAAAGTTTGGGTTAAGCAAGTATGCCTTGCGCCAAGGTGGTTGAGGAGTTCTTGCTGCGGCGAGGCGTGTACCTAGGTATTGTCACAAGCAGCTCCCAATGACCACCACCTGAACTTCCTTGATTTAGATGACGCCATGATCTGCACAATTGGCACAGTAGGATCGTTGGTAATTCTCCACTTTATGGTTGGTTAGGACTTACTCGTCGATGTGCGCCCACAGTGAGTCACGGGAATTCAAGGCGAGGTCGCGGTGTGCATCATGTTAATAGCGTGAGGGAGCCAGATAGACCGCTGCTCCAAGTCACAAATGCATTCTGCTCGGATGCTGAAGAGCGTGACCTCGTGATGCGAGATCTGCCGAGGAGATAGCAGAAGATGATCAGACTTGGATCTGGCACGCAATAGTCGTGGTGCTGGCATGAAGATGATCGCATACGAACTCATAGCCGATGCATTGCCTGGCGTCCGATGATCCTGTGTGTCGCATTCCTGAGGGCGCGCAAGTCGTATGGCTTCCCGTGCTAACGATCGGGGGCTGCAGCAGAGCTGTGAGTAGAGACAAAAGAAAAAGAAGATAGACCTAAAAGAGATGACTAAGCTTTGCGATGGAACGTGGATGTGAAAGTCGATGGCTCATGTGATGGCGTTCTCCGAGCGACCGGGGCCGGCCGCGTATCTCCAGTCTTGCAGGGTCCAAGGTCACGACCCGACCGTTCGCCATCGCGTGTCCCCCACTTTCGCAAACACAACGCCTGCTTGCGACCAGATGGGTTTCTTCGCAAACTCTCCTACTTCTCTCTTCGCTCCAGGCGGATACGGCTGACGAGTCCCGCGTGTCCGATGCCACGCAACACACCAAGCACCATGGGCGAGGCAGCACATGCAAGCTACAACAATGCCATCGAAGAGCTGCGCGCAGAGGAGTACCCCATGCTGCAGGGTAAGTTGGTAGAGTATCCTCGTGGGCCTATGCTTACTTATCAGACACGACGTACCTGGACCATGCCGGCACCACGCTCTACTCCAAATCGCTGATCGAGCGCTTCTCGGCCGACATGATGGCGAACCTCTACGGCAACCCCCATTCCGCCTCCAATGCCTCCCAACTGACGACGCGGCGAATCGAAGATGTGCGGCTGCGCCTCTTACAAATGTTCAACGCCGACCCCCAAGAGTTCGACGTCGTCTTTGTTGCCAACGCCACTGCTGGGATCAAGCTGGTCATGGATGCATTCCGGGATCACGACGAAGGATTCTGGTACGGCTATCACAGGGACGCGCATACGAGTCTGATAGGGGTACGCGAGGCAGCGAAGGAGCATCGATGTTTCGCTTCGGATGGCGAGGTCAATGACTGGATTGACGCCCAAGACACTGGAGTTGGGTCGCCACAGCTGTTTGCATATCCAGCGCAATCCAACATGAACGGGCGTCGCCTGCCGTTGGACTGGTCACACCGCATGCGTACGGGCAAAAGAAAACCTGTGTACACCCTGTTGGATGCTGCGGCACTTGTCTCAACATCGCCTCTTGATCTCGGGAATCCTGACGAGGCCCCCGACTTTACGGTATTGAGCCTGTACAAGATATTTGGCTTTCCCGACCTGGGCGCCCTGATAGTCAGGCAAGCATCAGCATCGGTTTTCGACAAGCGACGCTACTTCGGTGGCGGCACAGTCGAAATGGTCGTGTGCTTGAAAGAGCAATGGCACGCCAAGAAGGCGGACGCATTACATGAAAGGTTGGAAGACGGCACTCTTCCGATACATAGTATCATAGCGCTTGATAGCGCCATGGCCGTCCACAAGGAGCTCTACACCTCGTTGGATAGGATTTCGAGCCACACCACCTATCTCGCCCGGCAGCTGTACGAGAGACTTTCGTCGCTACGGCACGGGAATGGCGAAGACGTCTGCCACGTGTACAAAGACCCAGCCTCCAACTACGGAGATTCGCTTACCCAGGGCCCAGTTGTTGCGTTCAATCTTCGCAACCAATGCGGAGGCTGGGTGAGCAATGCAGAGGCGGAGAAGTTGGCTGCAATCAAGAACATCCAACTCAGGACCGGCGGACTTTGCAATCCCGGTGGTGTTGCCTCATCGCTAGGATTGGCACCCTGGGAGATGCGAGAGAATTTTTCTGCCGGGCAGCGGTGCGGTAACGATAATGATATCCTGCGTGCGAAGCCGACCGGCATGATACGCGTCAGCTTTGGAGCGATGAGTACCCTATCGGATGTGGACAAGTTTGTTGGCTTCGTGCGCGAATTCTTCGTTCAGGAACGCCAGCCGGTGGACACGTCTCCAATGATGTCTGCTGCTGTAGAGCCACCAACTCAAAGTCGCTTGCACGTGGAGAGCCTATCTGTCTACCCTATCAAGAGTTGTGCGGGGTTCAGCGTACCGCCCGGTAGTGCATGGGAGGTGCGCCCAGAGGGTCTTGCGTGGGATCGCGAGTGGTGTTTGGTTCATCAGGGCACCGGAGCCGCACTGAGTCAAAAGCGCTACCCAAAGATGGCTCTCATACGTCCCAGTATCGACCTCGAGAAGGGATTTCTACGGGTGAGCTTAGTAGGCGCTCTGCAGAATACAACAGATATGCATGAGATCACTGTGCCTCTCTCCGCGGATCCACGAATGTTCACCGACGGAGGTGTATACAAAGACGCAAGAGCCAAGGTCTGCGGAGATTCTATCCAAGCAAAGACCTATAGGTCGAGCGACGTATCGGCATTCTTTACGCGGGCTCTTGGGGTGGCCTGTCACCTTGCACGCTTCCCTGCTGCTAGCAACGGGAGCGCCACCTCAAGACACTCCAAAGCGCATCTGCAAAAGTACCAGAAGGCGGGCGCTATGCGAGTACCCGGCGCTTTCCCAGAAACGGTTCCCATTACGCCCGGCGCGTGCGTTTCGAAGCCAATCTTACTAGCAAATGAGAGTCCCATCCTTACTATATCACGATCGAGCCTCAACCGCCTTAATGAATTGATCAAGGCAGAGGGCGGTAAAGCGGCGCAAGCAGAGGTGTTCAGAGCCAACATCGTGGTTGCGGAGAACCCAGCGTACCCGCCTGGGCTGGAAGACCCGTATGCGGAAGACGACTGGCGCTACCTCCAGATTGGCCATCAGTACTTTGAGATGCTAGGAGCGTGTCGCAGATGCCAAATGGTCTGCATTGACCAGCAAACCGCCGAAAGAAACCAGGAACCCTTTGTAACGCTCTCCAAAACACGACGTTTTGATGGTCGCGTATACTTTGGAGAGCATACTTGTCATGTACCCTGGGACAATGTGCCATCTCCTCTGAGGCAGAACCCCGCCATCACGGTCGGCGATGCAGTAAGCCCTATTAGAGAGGATGAGATACACCAGAACAGCCAGCTGCAGGCCCTCGTAGGTTGAGCCACCCAGGCCACCCAAGGACCAACTTACTACCCTTGTTGGTACGCGGCATAGCTGAGTATTCTTCGAGGCCACACGGCCGCAGCGTTCGCGCGTGGCTTCAGATGGTATACAGCAGGAGACGGTCATTGGCCAGGTAGCTATGTACAGTGTAACAGAGATTAGACGGGCGGGTCGCCGAGCACACGGCCATGGAGCAGTTGAGACGTTGATGTAGGCAACGTGATAGGCATACGCAATTCACGGGAAGGCCCATGTGTAAGCGCTGGTAGTGATGTTTCAACGGCGAACCAGAGTCAGGTGTCTGGTACGTAAGAAAGGTGGCAGATGGCATGAGACGGAAGCGCGCGCGCCCTCCGAAGCAACATAGACATAGACAGCGGCTGCAAGCAAGACATAAAATCGTCTAATGCTCCCACGAGATGAGACGCACAGCTTGCACACAGCTTCAATCTATTTCCAGCAACATCGTTCATGAGGCACATTCCTTTGCTTGCTACTTTGCCTTGATCTGACGCCAACGTCTCATCAGCTCGTCTCAGAATCTCTTACCGGGCAAACTACCAGGTCGCCACGTTCAGCTTCAGATTACGAGCCTGCCTCCCGCACATCGACACCGCACATCACACACGCGAAAGCTACGCGGCGAATCAGGCGCGCTTTCAGGCCGGTCAGAGTCTCGAGACCTGCAGGGGCTGAACAAATCACACATCTTGTTTCAGCGTTGGGCAGCGAATCGAATCCCTGTGGAGGTGTTCGCCAGTGCACGGGGCTGCATATCCTAGTCCTCGGCGCTTAGAGAACGCTGGGACGCTTCGCGCCCAAAATAACCGGACACGACCCATACAGCGGCCAACAACAACAGCGCATCCGCGCCAAGCTAGTGTCATAGTACATACAATAAACACTCTCGTCCCCAGGCGCCAAACGGTACCTGTCTGCCTGCCTCGCTCTCTCACCCCTCCACTTTGCTGTGGAAGAAGGCATAGCACAGCTTGCAGTAATACCGACCAGGATCCAAGTCATTCGTTCACCACCACGGTATATTCAACACCATGGCTGCCACCGACTCCAAGCCGACGCTGTCTACGCTCAAGACGCCCATGTCTGCCACCTACCCCTCGGAACTCAGGTCGCCCATGATAACCTCAGCAACCACTCCCATCTTTGCCAACATCAAGCGCGAGGATTCGGATCTCAAGACACCCATCACGCCACCAACAGCCTACCTGGAATTCCTCAAGAACTTGTCACCTGTTCTCTCAAGCCCAATGTCCACTGGTACCAGCTCCAAGTTCGTCTTCGGTGACAGTCGCCCCACCTCAGTAACATCATCGGCCTCCAGCGCGTCCTTCACATCGACATCAGCCCCAGTAGACAAGGACAAGGACTCGCCAGCAACTTCAAGATCCAGCAGCTGCAGCAGGTGCGACACCACCAAGGACGAGCCACCAATGTCTGCACCACCAACCAAGCTCCAGACCGTTACTATCCCACCACCATCACCCTTCACGCGGCCCCATTCAGCGCGGACACCCCGCCTTTACATCCCCCAATCACCCTATTCGCCCGCTGCAGTACGGTCACCAGCAAGCGCAAAGTCCATCCAATCACCATTTTCTGCCGTCGCCTCGCCCAAAACCTGGGATGCGGATAAGAAGACTGGCCGGTCAAGGCGCGTTAGCGTGCGCGAAGTCGTTACACGGACAGTGACATATAGTCGCACACCAGTCGACGCGAAAGCTCCACAGTTTCCGCAAATTGACCCCGCACCCCGCGGCAAGAGGAGGAAGGTCGAGTAGAGATACGCCATCGTTGCGCAAACTACCGCTTCTGAACCGGCCTCAGCATGGACACCCGTCTAGTGCTACACCACGATACTCTTCCAAGCTCTGCCCTGGTGCATACCGTAACGCTTTGAATTCCCATTCGCCAAACGTCTACTATTTTACATTATACACGACTTACAACCATCCAACCCGGCCACTTCAACTAATATCTCGGGTCCAGGCGATCCGAATCGCAACCATTATCTTCAACCATCATCATCCAACATCAATCACGACCGCGACATACCAAACCATCACACCATGAACACCTCTCCCACTTTTCCTATGTTTACTACCCCACATCAATAGGGAGCGACGTTATGGCCACGTCACTTCCCTCTCACGACCCTGTCACGGCGGAAAACATGTCTTCGGCGTTGGGGCTTCACCATTACATTTTACCACATTTTACTAGCGGATACCAATATACAGCGGGCGGGAATGCGCCGGCGCTGTTTGATTGGCTAAGCGAGTACGGAGATTACCTCTTCAATCTACTCGAGAGAGGCGACCAAAGGACGATGCACGCACGCGCGCGCACGCACGCACGCAAGGTTTCCTACTTGCCATGTGGGTGCGTTGCATGCAGGTTTGACTGGTACTGCAGGTGTGTGGACATCTGGAACGCGCCCTTGTGGTGATAGGGTGGGCGGTAAAAGACACGAAAACAATAGCTCTTGCCGCCGTACTCGATTCACCTTGGGCGAAGCTAGCGAGGTCAGATGAGTGGCTTCTCCACTTGCAGTTCCAGGTTTCCCAAGTCGCTGCAGTATCAGTACTAGCCCAGAGACAGAAAGAGAGCGAGAGAAATGAAACATGATAACCTACTATTCAAACTATGTTCTCTTGTGCACAATACTACATGTTGATCTCGATTGATTTTCGCGGCGGAACTAACTACGATGGGGTATGCAAAGGTATACTACACAAGATCCCTACACATAGAACCACACACCGCTCGGTCACGCCGGCCGGTGAGAGAGAGGGAATCAATCGAACGAGCCTCCTCTGGTGGTCGGTCTGCCATTTGCTGTTTTGGCAGACCGCCTTGTGACGCGGACACGCATACCCGCCGTAAGAAGCCAATATTTCCCCAGATAACGCATGGCAATCTATATGCGCTTAGTCTGCCCAATCAACCTCCACTGGACGTTAGCCACCCTCGATGTAACAGGCCACAACCTTTCACCTTTCAATATTTTTCTTCTTTCTTTTTTTTTGGCCTCGGCAGGAGCATGCAAACCACCTCGCCAATCATACCTGTATGCTGACGGACATGTCAATATTCGCCCCAGTATCTTTGTGGTGCTGCGCAACTACAATAGACAGGGCGGAAAAGGGCGCACGGTACGCTACCCGTTTGCCGCGTAGGTATGCAACGCAGCTGTCATGTCATGTCATGAGGGAAAAAAGCAAGCAAAGAAAAGCTCAGGCCCAAAAGTTTCCCAAGGCTGCGTAACCTTCCCGCTTCTTCTAGCTCGGTAGGGCGAGTTGGCCAGTGAAAAGGACGAGATGGGGTGCGCAGGGATGCCACAGGGGTGGGGTGGGCGCTTAACCAGGGCTGTGGAGACGGGTGGCGCTAGGTGGGCTTGGGGTCGCCGATTGCTCACGTTTGATCATGTGAAGGTGGGCAGGAATGGGGATGCGGATGAGGTTGCGGATGGAGCTATTGAGGTTTGCTAGGGTGGTATTTGGAGGTTGGAGTGGAGGCGGTGGAGGTAAGTTGGAGAGTAGGTGTTTCTTGTTGATGAGGTAAGTGGGTGCTGCGCGTGCAAATAGATCAACGCACACACACACCAGCCACGCGGGAGCAACGTTGATGATCGGAAAGGTAGCAGCAATCCCTCGCGGAGCAGCACGCCGCTAACCATGCTCTCACATTCATTTTCCATCTCCCCAATCTCCGTTCTTTCAGATACTTGGTTTCATGACCCCTCGTGTCAATAAATCCTTCCATACGCGACAGCACTGAATATACCGCCGGAACAGCGCCGAGCCGCGTCTCTTGCGCATAATCTTCCCTTTCGCTTTCGAACAAGACAAGCCCACATCCCCAGCGGCACCTGCCCATTCCACACTGCCGCGGCTCATAAATAGCAGAGAGAGGCGGTCTACGCCGTACGCGCTCCAGCGCGCTTGCTCTGACTCATGAGAAGTCGTGCCGCAAGAAGGGTCAGTCATCGGTGTGCTTTCATCCCCAGCGGCGTCGCGGCACAGAAGACTAGAGCAAAGGCCTTGGATGTGTCAGACGCGCTTAAATGGATTCCCAAGTCCATGGCTGAGGGGCGATGGATGTGGTGATTACCACGCCTTGTAGGCCGTTGGTCCCTTTGTAAATGAGGCACGGCGTCGTAGTGTGGTATTGGATTGGAAACCAACTCTCCAGGGTTCGGATGGGAACCTTCGGGTATGGCTACCTGCCCGGAGACTTTTCCTGCACACATAACTGCCTGGACAATCTAAACGGAGAAGACCGCTGCAACAGGCCTGTGTTATAAACTCCACGCTTGTCATGTCAACCTGCGATCAACAATCATAGCAGGGCGATGGGCGTCATGCATATCAATCACATAGCCTCCTCGTTGTGCATGCAAGCGGGAGGACTATCAAATCTGCCGTTGGAACTCAATCGTTATGCTTGCGTGGAGATCGCTCCATCGTCATTTTATGGACTGTGCCTCGTGCTTGCAGATCGTTTCTTGCAGAGCTAGTACCAAGATGGAGCCCGGCACATAGGGCTGGAAATTTGGCATCTCGCGAGAAAATGAACGCCTGATGCTGCGGGTCGAGATCAGGCGGCCGAGTGGAGGCGATGAGCTGCGCCTCGGCTGACTGAAGCGAAGGAAGAGGGCGGTTTATAGATCATGGGTTGTGATGCACGGTTTCTGTCTCTCGTACGTAAGTGGTGGGATGTTGGGCTGATACCGCGTTGGATTCCGATGACTGTGAGACAATGTCTGATGCTCGGAGTAAAGGACTGTACCCCGAGTGAGAAGGAGTCCAAGGGAAAGTGCTATGCCTGTTGAAGCTCACAGACTTCGAGCGACTAGGACGGAAAGATCGCCAAAATGTACAGCTCGATGCAAGATGACATGACATCAAGAATCGAAAGAGCCAAAGTTCAGAGTCTACTACTCTGCTATGAATACACGTGAAGTCTGAAGACGATCAATAGTCCCATCTACGGAGCGTCGACCATGTCCTACATGCTCAAGTGCCCTCTGAGCTTCTCCAACACCCCAGCAACAACCTTCTCGTTCTTGCCTTCCTGCCTCTTACTCTCCCTTATCGCAACCTTCTCCAACTGCTTGGCCACATCCTTATTCTCTTCAGCCTGCCAATACGATTCCGAGCGTTCTACAAACCGTACGAAAGCTTCTAGCACAACTTCTTTCCCTTCCCAGCTCTTGCCACTAAGAGCCTTGTCTAGTACAGGCCAGATGACCTTTGCAGTAACGGGCTCGATCTTTTCGCTACCGACGGCGTTGGTGATTTGCAAGACACAGTCAGCGATGGTCTTGGCGGCTGTGTGTTTGATGGCCCACTGCCTGCTTTCTAGATGTGTTTCAGAGAGAGTGAGAATTTCTTTGAGATAAAGAGAGACGGTGCGTGAACCTGCGACATGATCATCCCATGTCTCTGTGAAGCTCTTGCGTACTTGCTCTTCCGAGTCGTGCTTAGCCAGGAAGATGAATGGAAGCAGGTCTGACGCGAACGATGTGAAGCGGTCGGTAGCGTATGATGAGATGGCACGCATGATATCCGCGGCGAGTAGGCGGTTCCTGTCGCTGTTTTCTTCAGACTCAAAGTACAGCTTGTGTACGAAGCCGACGGTGGCAATGATTTGCTTATCCGAAGCGAGGCGTGCAAGATAGCCAGCTGCAGCTGCATACGAGGAGCTGACGGATTCATTGCGGTCGTGTATCTGCTTCTGAATCAACTTGAGGAAGCCGTCGGCGTATGGGTTGAACAAGAAGCGATGTCGTGTAGCCAGAGTGACCAGGACCCTCGAACATCCAACCTTTGACGGCAAACCAACTGCGTTTTTCATCGCAGCCTCAATGCGGGGCACAAGAGCTGCCATGGTGTCTGCGTCTGCAAGGTCAAGGCAGCGCTCCACAGATTCGGTCAATGGTGATGAGCGCACGTTTGCAAGTCGCATGTCGTCTATCTTTTGCTCCGTGAGGTTGTACTTGCTGGCGTTGAGATGTACGTAGTTGATGGCTTCGGGCTCTAAGCTACTGAGCAGTCCGAGCAGACGTTCCACGAGCTCCGGAACGTGGGGATTAAGTGTTTTGGCGTTGCTCTTCTTGACGATCTGAAGCAAGGTGTGCACTGAGAACATACGGACCTCTTCAGCCGAAGACTCTAAGCCACTGGTGGAGAAGAGGAAGGGTATGACACGTTCGAGCTGGATGGTTGCGGATTTGTTTGACGCATCACCGGCTTCGAGGGAACGAGTGAGTATGCCAGTGAGGACACGGGCGAGAGATGCTGCTGCGACGCGGACGGTTTCCTTGATGTCATCGAGAACCTTGAACGTCTTTCCCCAGATCGCGTCAAGATATTTCTCGTACTATTCGAAGTTATCAGTATGCTTATTGTGTTGTACTGCGATTTCCTTACCTTTTCAATGCTTCGTCCTTGTACGAGGTCCGCGATAGCTGCGCAAGAAGCCTGACGAACGCGCCACTCCTTCGTGAGTATGCTGACTAGAAGATCGTCCATTATTGCGTCAAAGTGTTTGTCGATAGTCGCCGAGGAGTCCTTGACGAGCGCGTTCCAAATGTCGTTCATCGAGCGTTGCACATTCGTGTTTGGATCGAACCTGAGTCCATGTTAGAATGTGATGTCGTCAAAGTGTTCAGTAGGTGTCTACTAGGTCAGCGAACATACCGATATCGATAGAGCTTCGGGTAAAGCTTGGGATTTTGGGCCAGATATCCGTCGACACTTGAATCGGAGAAGATGTTACTCAGGCCAAAGCGACCAAAAGCGGCTCTGCTTGACCAGATGGAATTATTCGATGCCATTGACATGAAACGGTATACCAAACTTGAATCTCCAACCTCAGCTGCCAGGTTCAGAATATCCTTGTAAGTCGTGATGGACCCGTCTCCAGTGGGCAGCGCACCAGGCTCGAAAAGCTGAGTATCGTCCGTAACAGTACCAGCCATCTTGGACTTGTTGTCCGAGAAAGAGCCTACTAGATCGCGGACGAGGTCATCTTTGAGTTGGCGATCACCCTTCTCATACACCAATCCTAGTCCTCGCGAAGCTGCTTCCTGAACAACCTCATCGCGATCAGAGAGACAATTCTTAAACGCTACCTGGCATTGGCCAAGGTAACTCTGCATCTCGGGCTTGTGACCACAGTACTGTAGGAGACACAGTAACCATATCACAGAAGCTTTCTTCAATGAGGGTTTGGTCTGCACGCAACCCTTCAACGTCTTTTCCAAAACTGCCCCAAGCGTCTTCTCACGTTTAGGTCCAGATGGCGTCTGTAGGGGCGCATCCCATGGGTCTTGCGGTTGGTTGGGATGTAGAATGTCGAGTTCGGAAGTCAGAGCCTTCGAGTCCCAGCCACTGGCGAAGCAGCTTAGAGCTTCACCAACTGAAAAGTGTACTTCCGGCTGACGGACCTCATGTAGCTCATATAGCTTGTCACCGATGGCCTTGTATTCTATAGCTTCCTCAGCTTCGGCTCCAGTCTCCTCTGTGATCATGGATAGATGGCCTAAAGCCATGATGGCACTGGTCGTGCCTGTCTTGGCGGAATCATATATCTGTTCGGCAATGTCTTCGACCTTTGCGTACTTGGACAGCAACGAGGGGGTGATAACGTAGAACAGACTGAGTTGATCGATGCAAGAGAAGGCTGCACCCTTCAAAGTTGCGTCCCGAGAGTCTTTCATGATCTCTACTACTGATTGTAACAGTTGTTGAATGGGATGATCATCAGTTATCGTTGCAGATACTGCTCCACTTCTCCAGAACGCTCTGCTGTAGTAGTAGCCAAGTGCTAATATGATGCCGCTTATCTGATTGATATCAGCACCGACAGCCGACTTCCAAGTGCTGAGCTTGTCGAAAAAGACTACTTGAGCGGACTGAAGAGCGTCTTGATCAATGCTATCGTGCGATGCTAGCAAGCCATACGCGTGGGCGGCGGCGAGTCGCCGCCCAGTGTTGTTAGCTATGATAGAGGGCTGCAAAGCGCGGAAGTCTCGGACAACGTTGGCTTGAACCCAGTGCTGCTGCGGTAGTAAAGATAGCATTCGCACGAAAGAAGTGCCAATGTCGCCAATGTCACTAACATCGTCTTTTGTGAGTCTGTCAAAACTGGCTCGTAATATCACTGCAAGCGATCGAGCGTGGGATTTGTCTGCCGCATATGCACGGAACGCTTGCCGAGCGCGCATGTCCGTAGTCATCTGGGTATCAAGCTTCCTGTCCCAATCTTCCGGAATTTCTTCACCCATCTCTTTGTCATGTAGCGCAGACTGCATCGCGACGCTAGAACAGAAGCTAATGACAATCGGTAGAGCTCCAGGGTATTGCTGATAGAAGTGTTGTATCTGTACAAGAGCATCCTCTGACTCGTCGATATCCATCGCGTCTTCGTCCTGCCCTTGCTGAACGATAATAAAGTTGACCAGCTTGTCGAAGTCCGGAAAGACCAATGTGCTTTGTTCGCGTTCGCCGGGTGGGGTATTGGACATTCTAAACCAGTATGGATCGAGACCACGTCGTCCTTCCTCTATGACCTCATGCCTTTCGGAAGCCCCTCCACTGACAGCGAGAATGTCGATCCATCGCGCCAGCACATCCTCATACGGAAGACAGCGGTTTGCAAATCGTGTCGCAACATAACGTGTGCTTCTTGTAAACCGATCTGAAGCTGGCGTGTTATGTTGATCTACAGACGCGTATCTAAGTAGTATCTGCCGGAACCTGGGCATGACAGAAGGATCGAAAGGTTTCGAAAATGCGCCGAGTACTGAAGATAAGGCTTCCTCTATACTGACAGCTACGTCCTTTCCTGCTGAATCCTCACGGAGAGATCGAAACAAGAACTCTAACAAGTCCAGGGATGGTTCTAGGAGTATCTTTTCGGGGGCAGCCTTCGCCAACAGTCCGATGGTCTCATAGCCATAGCCTCGTAGCTCCATATCTTGGTCATGATCTGGAGTTGGCCAGCCTTGATCTTGGATGAAGGCCCTCAGGTTCCCTACCAAACTTTCAGCAACCTGGGAAAGGTCGGAGGACTGTCCACGACGTGCAACGAAGTTGACTAGTGAGAAGATGGCTGAGCGAAACTTGGAAGCTTCCCTCCCTGCTGTCTTGTTTGTCGCATTCAGTTCTGGTGAGAGAAGGCCTTCTTCAACGAGCCTCGCTATTTGCCGTGGGTATGCAGTGCACCTGACAGATCTTGACAAGACGTTGAGTATCCTGATTTGTAGTGGTGTCTTTACCGGCAACGATCCAGTCGTCGAGCTCGAGCCAAAGTAGAGTTCGAACAGAGCTTCCACAACTTCTGGTTGTTCAAGATCCTTGGATAGCATTACACGTTTCAGAGTGTCCTCGCCAACCTCTGATATCCGGGAGTTGGTATCTGCAGATGCGAATAGTGCTGGCAGAAACTTTTCATCTTCTTTGAACAGCCCACTTGCCATGAAGCGCGTGACCAGGGCTTTTGTTTCAGTCAAATTTAGGCCTGCATCGGAGGTGGGATCCCAGGCATCTGGCTTGCCCTGTAGCGTCAAGAACTTGTAGTCTTCGACAGATAAACCCGGACAACGCAACGTGGCTTGGGCCTGAGGGTTACTCTCTCGCACGATGCTTAGCATGAGTAGTTTCCCAAACCATCTTGAGAGGAAGGCCGCATCGTCATCGGAAAGGCCCAAAGTTGACCTCAGCTCATCGTCCTCCTTGCTGCCGCGGAGGGGCAGTTTGAAATGGACCAGAAGACGTAGAATGAGATGTAGCAGCTGAGAAGCATGCTGTTCCGACTTTTCAAAGTCTTTGGCGATGCCTTGCAGCAGGATGGGAAGAAGCTCCAGTCGTTCGGCGACTGTAAGCCGCGATATGCCTTGCTGAATGTAAAGGATGTCGAAATGGCGTATGAGAGAGATGTCGGGATTCTCTTTATACTGCTTTAGAAGAGCACTCACAGGGAGTTTGATGTCTCTGCCATGTTATGTCAGTGCAACACTTTGTCGGGCGAGGGTGAAAGCGTACTGTGACTTTATGCGGGTGTTGATGTGTTGGCAGATGGAGATGACCTTATTCCGCACAGCAACGCTATCTGAGCCGAGTTTGAGGAGCAGTGGAGAGAGATAGACTTTGAGCAAGTCCTCAAGCTTCTTCTCGGAGCTAGCAAGCGCAATGCGCATCTCGACTTTGCCCACCAGAGCAAGCTCTTTGGCTTCGGGGGTTTGTTCTGACGCCATGGCGCGATGTGATGTGATGGGACTATGGCAATGAGGGTGCTGGTCAACAAACGCGAGTCTTATGGCAGGCGCAGCAGGCAGAGGCGGATGGCGTGGCTCATGGGCGGCAGGAGGACTGGATGACCAAGCGATGCAGCGTCGTAGTGTACTGGGCCTCTCCGTCCGTGATTGCCACATGTGGTGTCGGACATTCACAGCGACAGGGGTGGGCGCACGGGTACCGGGATGACGCAGTCGCACCTGCCTGCAACAATCGCATCGCGTCTTCGACGTGCTTCTGCCCACGTCGACGCCTGCTGCCTCTCTGCCACTCCTACAACACCGCCCGGCTAGCAATTCGCCGCCCTCCTAGCCCGTCCCATTGCCTTCGACCACCACCCCGCCGTGTACCCGCCAGCACGCCGGAGCCGCGCCTGTCACAAGCCGTCGACCGCACCTGCAATCACACTGGCACTCGACGCCCATAGCTCGCACTGTGTAGCCCCCTCACCGCCTCACAAACCATCGCCGCACCCTGTGCACGCACCTCGATAGCCCTTGTCGGACGTTGATGGGTACTTAACTGCCCCACCACGGTTCTCTCTCGACTGCAGTCGCGACCGCCACACACAATTCTCGACACACGCCCGACCACGCAAACTTGCTACGCGAGCCAAACAGCGCCTTCGGAATAGCACGCCGCCCTCACAAAGGCTTCTGCAACCTGCCCCATAGGTTAAAGAGTCGTCTTTCCCTGCCCCAGCTCAGGACCACGCTCAAGCACCCAAAGTCGAACCCCACACAGCCGCCCAAGATGGACGACGAGAACGTCCTCAACTTCTGCGGCATCACTTCGTGCGACCCAGACAAGGCCGCCCAGTACCTGCGTCTCACCGATGGCAACTTGGAGCAGGCCATCCAACTCTTCTTCGACTCCCCCGGGCTCGCCGATGCCCCTTCTGCTCCCTCGCAGCCCTCGGCCGCCGCTTCCTCCGCACAGAACCCCATCAATGTCGACTCAGACGATGACATGGACTTCGACCCTGCGCCGCAAGGCACGACGCCGCCCGCACGAGCACAGCCAGGCGTGGAAGATGACGAAGCCATGGCCCGGAGGTTACAAGAAGAGATGTACGGCGGTGGCGCGCCTGGAGGAGCTGGCTCTGATGAGGTCCGCGCGCCCATAGAGCGGAGGATGGAAACACTCGTTGGGCCAGGCTCGAACTGGGGGCCTGCTGAGGACGAGGAGGATCTCGATGCCATGGTCCAGGAGCAGCTGGCTCGTCGGCGGACAGGTATGCCGCACACCTCATATATACAATTCCCGGACTTTGCTGACCCATCGGATCAAGGCCGCGCAGGTATCTTCAACCAGCACACCACCCACACCAACGTCTGGGACAACGCGACCGATTCGAGCACTCGGCGACGCGAGCTTGCGACCGCGACGGGCGGTGCTTCCGAGCAGTCCTCCAAGATGAACATGCTCGCAGAGCTATTCCGCCCACCATTCGAGATCATGTACCAAGGGTCCTGGGAAAAGGCACGAGACATGGGCAAGGATGAGGAGAAGTGGCTACTCGTCAACATCCAAGATCCTGCAATCTTTGATTGCCAGCGCCTTAACAGGGACATCTGGAAGAACGAAGACATCAAAGCGACGGTACGAGAGAACTTCATCTTTATGCAATACGCAAAGGACGACCAGCGTGGACAGCAGTACATGAACTACTACTTCCACGCCCGCGACAGCTCCGACGCCTACCCTCACATCGCCATCGTCGATCCCCGAACGGGTGAGCAAGTCAAGGTCTGGTCCGGCCCACCGATACCCGAGCCAGTCGAGTTCCATGCTCAGCTCCACGAGTTCCTTGATCGCTACAGCCTCAACGTCAACGCGAAGAACCCCGTAGCCAAGCGGAAGTCTGAGTCTAAGAAAAAGGACGTAGGCCGCATGACTGAGGAGGAGATGCTAGAGATGGCACTACAAAACAGCATGGACAACGGCAAGGGACCAAAGGATGATGACCCAGATGCTCTCACCAAATCTACGGACAACATCAAGGGCAAGGGCAAGGCCGAAGAAGCCGCCCCAGAACCCGAGGCCGAGCCTGAGGCAGCTCCTTCAAATCCCGTCTTTGCCGCTATCTCTGCACATGCTCCCCACACCGAGCCGACCGTTACCGACCCCAAAGTCACGACCCGCATCCAATTCCGTGGGCCGTCAGGACGCCCAATCGTGCGCCGCTTCAACCTCTCGGATCCTGTTCGCCGCGTATACGAGTGGATCAAGTCCGACGTACCCTGGGAAGGCAAGCAAGGAGCTGAGTTCGATCTGGCGTTCATGGGCAAGAACCTCCTCGACCACGTCGACGACACAATTGAAGTCGCTGGACTCAAGGGTGCAAGCGTGATGGTAGAGTTCTTGGACAATGAGTAGTCCAGACAGCCCAACGACTGCGCTGCACCGCACGACGGTGCTACTTACAACGTATAGGCGTACAAGAGACATGAGTAACGAATACGTAGTTAGATGTTTCCAGGCATCACCGCTTGGACGACATACCTGGGATCTTTAGATCTTCTTACATTGCCGCCACGGACCCGTGTGCGGCCAAATACCCTTGCATTCTTTGGGCACTTAATGGGTGGTCGTGTTAGTCTCAGTATTGAATTCTATCAGTACTTTATGAAAAGTTTCTCTGACCACTGATATACGTGCATGGCATGGTATCTCAGAAAGTATGTGTGAAGGTGAGAATACGTTGAATTGTCATACGCTTCCGCCATGAGACATGTCTAGCTATTCATCGCAGAATGCACATCTTCGCCGATGTTGCTATGTATTCCAGTGCGTATCATCCGCGCCTACGCCATCAGTCGATGAAATATCAACTCACCATCGATACAAACCCCCACTTATATCACCATCTTCCTCACCAACCTTCATGGTCTCGTCCGAAGAGTATTCGTAATCTGTATCGTTCTCTTCATCATCTTTCTCATCAACCTTCACGGTCTCGTCCCAAGGGTATTCGTGATCTGTATCACCATCTTCCTCATCAACCTTCATGGTCTCCTCTGAAAAATGTTCGTGATCTGTATCGCCCTCTGCATTGGCATCTGTACCCGCATCCTCGTCGTCGCCATAGTCGAAGTCGACGTCTTCGAACTCTGCATCGCTATCGTTTCCATCCCAGGCATCTTCTTCTTTCGAGACGAAGAGATCATGCTTCCTTTCTTGAGTAGCCTCGTCGATGTCACATTCTCCTTTCTCGAGATCTCGCATGCTGACAAAAGATGGTGGGTTCATCTTCCCCTTCTTGTTTCCTTCTTGGTCCAATTCCATGGATTTTCGCTTCTTCTGCGGCCTGGGTGGTGGGGGGTCGTGTTCACCATCGCCGAAAGCAGAGTCGTGGTTACTGTTTGTTGGACTGTCGTTGCCGCGGGTAGATGGGTAGTTGTCAATTGACTCCGGTACAGGAGGTTTTGCTGTCTGCTTGGAGAGTTCAATCGCAGCTTTGATACCGTCCCACTCTCCTTCCGCATACCCCGCGTCTGCTGCATCGGCAACTGTTCCTCCTACTTCGCCATTGAGTTGAGCATCCAGTGATCTTGCGTAAGCTAAGTCTCTTTCTTGCTGGGCTTCGCGCTCTTCTTCGGTCACTTTGGCGACTAAATCGGCATTTGCAGCCTGGATCGATGCGAACGCCTTCTGAGCATCATCGGCAGCTTCAGTCGAGGTCGTGGCATCGTGGCATTCCAGATCGCCTGGTCGTACGTAGTCAGGTCTCTCTCTTTCAGGAACGCCGCGAATGGGGTCGGGGTTGTTGAACCAGTGTTCAGTACCGTAGTACTGTATTTGTAGTCTGCTTCTCATAGCTCGATACGCTTGCCATTGACTCTCGGGTACTGGCTGTTCTTCTGCTACTGGAGCAAGAACTTTGCCATGGGGGTCTAAGTGGACGACTTGACCAGCGTGGGAGCGACCTAAGCGCGTCTTCGATGTGGTTACTTCCGGAAGTGTTGGCGTGGTCTTCAGACTGCCGCTGTCCTCTCCCGTCCCCCTTTGCTTGTCCCGGCGTTTGTCTGCTTGCATCATGCTCTGCAGCGTTTTGTGATTCGCACGCTTGTCTTTCTGTCGCTCCAAGATTCCCATGGGCGTAAAGACAGGATCATTGATAGGCTTGAAAGTTCGCCTATTATTGCTCGTCGAGTCACCAGTCGGGGTAGGACTCATCGTAGCTTCACCGGGAGGAGGAATGCCAGACTCAAGACTCATCTTAGAGCCAGCCTCCAGCTGTGGATCGGGCGATGCGGGTCGATTTGCGTCATCCTCCTCTTCGTAGTACATGTTCACGGCGTCGATCACGTTGTAGTTGAACTGTTCCAGCCAATTCTGGGCATCTTCAAAGTCGATGTCCACGCGCTCGCGAAATTCTTGTATCGCCTTGAACCTAAGGTGACTTCTTGTTGTTCCTTCGTCAGTCGTACGCGGAGCTGTAGGCGTCTCCTGTGTTGACAGCTTCTCGTCGCTTGAAGGCGTACTCTGAACAGGCCTTCGTGACGACTTGGGTGATGCAACCGTGTCAGATTCATCCAATGGCTGCGCAAGTTCGTCTATTATCTGCCTGACCAGGCTGTCCCTTTTTGCAGTCGCCGAGACTCGTTCTTCTGCGAAACGCTCTTTGTGTTCGTCCGTGTCGCTATCAGCACTTTCGTTCAACATCGCAAGCTCATCAATAAGGTTATAAAATCGGGCCATAAAGTCTCGCTGCTTATCAGTGAGTGAGTTATGTCCTTGTCGTCGGCGCCGGCCAAACAGTTCATTCTTCAGAAAGTCGTAGACCTCATCGTCGGTGTGCTTTTGCTCGAGCAGTTTGACGTTTTGCTCAATAGCAGCTCTTTGTACTCGGTGGTGCCGACCCGCGCTGATGGCATTTTCGCCCAAGACTTCCTCAGGCGTGTCATCCCTCAGCTTGCTGGCATCTCCTACCAGCTTCTCGAGTTTTTGGAAGTCTTCGTTATCGAACCGCATCTTGCTGAACGCCAATAGCGCTGTTTCAAACATGTAGCGCCATCGATCCTTCTCAGCCCTTGTGGGAGTTTCTTCAAACTTCCCGGATTGCTTCGGCACCTTTTTGAAAGTGGGCCAGCATATTCGTCGGGATTCTTCGTCTTCTACAGTGAGCTCTTGCCCGAGGAGCGATATCACCGAAGCAAGAACGGGACCGTTGTACTACAAGTCATACGTTCAGCTGGGTCTTGGTCGTAAAGTACTAGCTGGTCCAACATACCGCTGTCGCCCCATGCACATCGGAATGGAACTTCGCGAGGTTTGCGCTTCCATGTATGCAGTACGCAAAGTCTAAGCCGGTAACAGAAAAGTGCCGGATGTAAACGATGCAGCATGTGTCTCTCTCATTGACTTTCTTCTCCAAGGATAAATCGTATGCCTCGATCTCGTCGCTACGGTAGGGTGAGTAAAACCACTCTGTACGTAGTCTCTTGAAGCTGTTCGATTCGCATCTCAGTGTCCTATGCACGTCAGTTATGTGCTTGTGACTGTAGCAGCAATTATTACGCCTGTATGTATATCTTGCACCTCGTCTAGAGGAATGCTTCATCAGTCTCCCGTGCTTTTGTTAGCGGGGTAGGAAGGTTGTTGCTAAACATTGGTGTCATCGTGTTTGGCGGTGGCGTTGTTATTGTAAGAATATCTTGGTGAGCGTGAGCGATAGTAACACTGCGATGATTGTGATGAGATGACTATGCAGGACAGCAGTGGCAAGGTGAAACCTCAGACGACAGTGTTGACGCGAGAGGAAGCCGACCGTAGAAGCAAGGGCCTCGTAAGTTGGCAGCCGCATACACGTGGTCAAAACTCTGGGCTGTACTGCAAGTGGTGGGGAAGGTATAAACAGCATTCGTGCGCTAGATAATGGCGGCAGCGACCGACTTCCACCCCACATCGCAACCCTCAATGCTCCTCCATAATCTTTTCATCTCCGATCCGCTGGGTGAAGGTGACTGTTCTGTCCTTGATCCTCCAGACCCCGCTCGCACCGCGCACACCATCACAGTCGCCGTTCTTCGCTTCCAGCATTACCATGTCGTCCACGTACTTGCCATACGCGCATAGCATCTTGCCCTCGTGAGGGCCTTGACCGAACTGCAAGACTCAGCATCTAGACCTGGCAATCTGGGTACGAAATGTCCATGTACGGCAAGCTAAGTCATGGCGCGACTCGAACGCTTTGACGGGCTTTCAAGGCAAACTGGTTGTTTCTAGAAAGTGAGAGTAAGAACTGAATTCTGACGACTTACGTGTACACCCTGGAAGTACGTTACAGCTCGCGCCGTCTGCGCATCGGATCTGAATGTGATGGTTTGCGTCGTGAGGTTATGATGTGTGCGGACTGGTCCGAGGCTGTGTACTGTCAGACTTCGTCTTCTTGCTTGTCAACATGCAAGTGATGAACCCACCGGTTTTTGATCGCATCCTTCACCTCATCAAGGCTCTTCATAGCTTCGTTGAAAGGGTAGCTGGCTTCGACATCGGATATGAAAACCTTCCCTAGCAGATCAAAGTCCTTCAAATCCAACGCCTGGCAATATCGCGATACGACATTCTTGATGGCCAAAACATCGAGTGGGTTAACGTCAGACATGACGGACGGCGCTTCAATTCTCAATCCATGGATGGGGAAGTGTTCTAAGGTTATAACCTGCTTCTCTCGGAACCCCGCCCCAGAGAGCCGGACCCTGATGGAGGGCGGTAGAGTGAGGTTCTCCTTCTGGTTCAGTACCAAGCATCATTACAGGATAGTCGATGCAATCGCGGCCCAGACGTCCTGTCCCTGCGTGTCGTCACATCGTCACATCACCCTACCATGGAAACATGACGGGTGATATTCGCACGATACCTTGAAGCACGTGTAGCTCGCAGGGCGGATGTCATGTCGTTGCGTGTGTTTAACACAAGATTACGGCGGGTAGGAACCTCTTGGAAGATCGCGCATATCTGCCGTTCAGGCACAGGGTTGCCGTCGGTCAGCACATGTCGGCAGCGAAGCAGGGGGCGGGGTGCGAACAAGAAGGACGGAGGGCATGTGATCGGCTTTGATTGGCTGAGACAGCCCACTTACCCCATACGGCAGGTTCAGAGAGACTGTGGATTATGGCGCCAGAAATTGAGTCAACATTGATTTCCACCCAACATGATTTCCCCTCCAACATGCGCTTGACATCGATCTCACCCCGACATCCAACCAAATCCGTGATAATCTCCCAACTGATTTTGCGCGATAAGGAATTTTGTATCGCGAGCGTTCCCTGTAGCGAGAAGGTCCTGCAGCAAGTGGCTGGCCAGCACTCAGTCTCTTGATGCCTCCCCGGGCCCGATCCTGTTCCCTCAAGATTGCTGGATTTGACGGCGCTGGCGGCTGGCAAGACCTACCTGGTTGGGAAGGTTGAATGACGTAATAGTGTTGAGAGACTTCCCATCGTGCACGGCAACTTTCTCGATTCTACAACTCTATCCTTTTCGCTGCATCATGCATGTACGCCTATCAATTTCTCATGCAAAGTGCCTACGAGACATGCCAGATCCGATGATTACTGAGGCTCGCCCTGGTCCTCCCAGACGCGTGATTCCTCCCGTTAGGATTCTCGCATGCCGCGTGCATATTGCCACGGCCACCCCTCCACATAGCCCTGGAGATCAACGCGCATTCGCCTCGACTTTCGTTCACCTTCTTGTAATGCTGGTAGCTAAGCAGCTAAGTGCGTTCCGTAAGCAGCTTTTTGATTACTTCGCAGCTGTCCATGTGGGTGATTGTCCTCGTTCGGCGAATGCGCTGTATACGTTCACACGCGCCGAGCGTAGGCATCCACCACGGCGCCAGCACGACAGGCTTCCCCACCATCGCAACTGCAGCCATGAACACATACCAGACGCATGCGTCCCATGCGCTTGTATATCGCATGCGAGCATGGTGTGAGCTCCGCTGGGTACCCCTCACGAAAGGCAGCCGATATGGAGCCAATCTACGCTGGGCGTGGAAGCGCTTTGTTAAGCACCTGGGCAACATAAATACTGTTGGTGCCTTGTTCTATCTCCATCTCTCAATCTTAATCCTGAGGTCCTACTCACTACGAGGTCTACTGGCAAGCCGTGCGCACAATGGCGATCTTTGATACAGCAGCCCTCGCCGCAAAGGCTGTGAACGCCGGTCTTGCTACGTTTGTGATTCTCTTTACAGCAATTTTGGGTCGCATATTCTACATGCAGAAGCTGCATCCTCTTTCAAAGTTCCCGGGACCGTGGTATGCGACTTCGTTCTCCGTCGTGGGTGCCATAATCTCTGTGTTGCACAGAGAGCCTCAGTTCTTTATGTACCTGGTAGAGAAGTACGGAAGTAGGCGACCCTCTCATCTTCCTGTGCGACTGCAGCTTCTGACATTGACACAGCGGACCGCCCAATACGCATATCCCCCACGATGTTGCTCTTTCCCAAGCCGTCCGCCCTCAAAGACATCTATCGGGACCCACAGTGCAACACTAGGGCTGGCATGTACGACAGTGGAGCCTTGGGACCTCCGCATCTGGTTTCCACGATAGATGGTGAAAAGCACCGTGTCTTGCGCAAGGCTCTATCGAACGCACCATGGTCCATCGGCCCGCTGAAGAACGCATGGGAGCCTCGCTTCGATAGCCACGTTTCCCTGCTCGTTGAGAAGCTGAGAGAACATGCTGAGGCCAAGCGCACCATCTGTCTTTCTGATAAGGTCGCCGAATTTGCAGCCGACATCCTCAGCATAATCTCGTTCACGCAGCCCTTCGGCAGTGTTGAGAACCAGCGCGATGAGAAATACTTGTTGACCAATTGGCGCAAAGGTTTGACATTTTTCGGCTTCTCGGGAAGGTTTCGATTCTTGCGGGAGCGAATCCTGCGACTGCCTGTTCTAGGGGTCTGGCTGTTACCGACTACCTCTAATGACTACGGGATGGGCTGGTTGATGGGCGAGGCAGACCGCCAGGTCACCGTGCGAGAGCAGCAAAACAAAGAGAAGCCATATGATGGAAGGCCGGACTTCCTACAACAGTAAGCATATTCAATGTTCCTTTAGGCATTGTCTTCGTACTTATTGCATCCAGCTGTCTCGACGCCCGTTTTTCAGATGGCTCACCACTGACCCCGACGCAAAAGCGTGCCCATGTTACGCTTCTTTACCAAGCTGGAGCAGACACAACTGGCACAGCAATGGGTTGCATTCTCCGACTCATATTGTCAGACCCGTCTACTCTCGCACGTGTTCGCGCAGAGCTCGATGCAGCAGATTCAGCAGGCCTTCTATCAACTCCAATCCGTTATGATGAAACCCTCCAGCATCTGCCGTTCTTCATTGCATGCATCAAGGAGGGGCTTCGCCTTTTCCCACCGGCCCCCAATCTGTTCCCTAGGGTGACACCAAAGGGTGGCAAAGTCGTTGATGGACACTATGTGCCTGGCGGAATGGATGTCACTAGCCAGGCGTACGTTGTGCAGCGAGACAAGGGCTTCTACGGGAAGGATGCTGAAGATTTCAAGCCTGAGAGATGGATGCAAGGTGAGAAGAGAAACTTCGAGCTGGAAGCAGCTCAGTTCACGTTCGGGATTGGACCGAGGATGTGTCTGGGCAAAGATGTCGCAAAGTTAGAGATGTACAAGCTGTTGCCGGAGGTAAGTTTTTCCTGAAATAGATCTCGCGATGTTTCTTGCTAACTTGAAAGATTATTCGTCGGTTCGACATCCAGATCAACAAATCCGGCAGATATATCGTCGACGGCGGTGTGGCGTACAACGTCGACTTTCTGGTTGAATTGGCAGTTAGGTAATAAGTATAGTAAACCCCGGGTATATTCACGATGATGTTCAGGTACATCTCGCATGTCCACGACTCTACCGTGAGGAGTACCGAACATGTGCCGAGCGGGTAAAGAGGCTAAAGGGCCATGCTCGAAGAATCCCTTCCCCCGCACACTTAGCAGATACCAAGCCCATCGACCCTGCTTGACATAAACGATCTTTAATTTCTCCGATATGTCTTACATGGTGCACATGCGCTCTACACCGGGTACATTCTTGAGCCAGATCTGCCCAGTATGACCGACACTATGGAAGCTAGCTGTACGGGTGTAGTACTCTAAGAGACACATGTCAAGACGGGTATTTGCATCGTACTTTGAGATCATCAGATAGAAAACCCGGTTGGCATCGTATAACATCCGGGTCACAGATCAGATATATAGAGCCACCCAAGTCTTCACCATGAAAGTCACGGCCAATACCCAAGATGCATTTCTCTACCCTCAGCACCGTTCTGGCTTTGGCCAGCATCGCCACATGCACGCCTCTCGACCCTCGCCAGCAGACAGCTACAGCGCTTGATGCGGCCATGAAAGCGCGAGGCCGTTCCTACATCGGCACTTCTTTAACCATCCGCAATGACAACACCGAGCAGAACATCATCCGCAGTGCGGAATTCGGTTCCATTACGCCTGAGAATGCTATGAAGTGGGACGCCACAGAGCCCAATCGGGGCCAGTTCAACTGGGGACAGGCAGATGCTGTTGCGAACTTTGCGACCCAGAACAATAAGCAGGTAAGATATCCATCATAGCACTGCAGGTCAACTCTGGCAGTAATTAGAGCTGACGGGTACAATAGATGCGCTGCCATACATTAGTCTGGTACAGTCAGTTGCCAGGCTGGGTGAACCAAATCAACAACAACGCCACCTTGATGGGCGTAATGGAGAACCACATCAAGCAAGTCATGGGAAGATACAAGGGGAAATGCACCCACTGGGACGTCGTCAACGAAGGTACAAACACTAAGTGAGAGCAAGAGACATGAACCCAGCTGACGTACTACCAACAGCCCTCAACGAAGACGGCACAAACAGAGACAACGTCTTCCTCCGCGTGATCGGCGAACAATACCTCCCCATCGCCTTCCGCATGGCCGCTGCCGCCGACCCAACCACCAAACTCTACTACAACGATTACAATCTCGAATACGGCTCGGCCAAGCACCAAGGCGCCCTCCGCATTGTCAAGCTCGTGCAATCCTGGGGCGTCAAGATCGATGGCGTCGGTCTGCAGGGCCATGTGGTGTCTGAGCCTACAGGCACCCAGAGCGACATTACGCCCAGCACAGCGGTGTTGACCAAGGTACTTCAGGATTACGCTGATCTTGGTGTTGATGTTGCGTACACCGAGTTGGACGTACGATCCCGCACGCCGAGTAACTCGCAGAAGTTGACAGATGCGGCGGCGGCTTGGGCGAGGATTGCTCAGAGTTGTATCAACGTGCAACGCTGTGTCGGCATGACTATCTGGGTAAGTTTCAGCTGTTTCACCCTTCATCTACCATGGCTTGAGTATATGTGCTAACTTGTCGTGATTAGGGTGTTGCGGATAAGTATTCCTGGGTTCCTGGCACCTTCAACGGTGAGGGATCTGCATTGCTCTGGACGGACAACTTCCAGAAGAAGCCTGCTTACACAGCTTTCTTGGATGTGTTGAACGGAAAGAACACAACGCAGACGTAAGCGTCCTTTGTTGCTGAAATTGAGCAAAAAGGTATCGAGAGTTTACCTGTCAAAGAGAAGGAGTGGGTTACACGCCTGTATACTTTCAGTTTCTGAATCCTCTTCTACTGAATACAATTCCGTTCGATTTCAAAGTGCCTTCTCCATTCTCATCTTTGTCTTCTCTTACTGTCTGATATCTGCCCTCCACCTCCGTCTAAGCCTTCTTTCCCACCAAACGATCAAAGTGCTCGAAGCAGAATTTTCCTCCGACAAAACACGTCGCTACCCACTTGAACCACGCAGCACTCAGAAATCCAACGCCGTGCTCTTTCAACCTCTTCATGAACATGAGTGTCTCGACTGCATGTGCGCCATAGAGGAAGTAGAACAACCCAGTCTGAATCCATCGTCCAGCTGTAGCAACGTTTTCCGGAAGCGGTGAGTTGAGGTTGCCAGGATGAAGTATGGCGGGGGTAGGAGCAGCGGCAAGGGCCATTACGATGCCACAGATGATGATGGGCTTGAGGTGTGGGCTCGAAGGCGGCGTGTATGTGTTGCGAAGATTTTTCGGCGCCATGGTTGGTGATGTTGCTTCTGGCGTTTGGTAGCTATGATTCTGCTGGGTCGTTCCTCTGTATGCTATTGAACTGTGTGAGCACCCACCACAGATTGTAGGTACTTAGTGATGAAGCTTTTCGAGGGAGAAACATACCAGCAAGAACACCACGAATGAGGAGAACCTGTGTTCAGTGTTCTACACAGGCCTGCGTAACGTTATTTCTCAACTTCGGAGACGTGAACGAAACACTTGACAACAGACAAATAAGTTGTTCTTCGTTCGTCCGTCAAAATGGGACGCGTTGCTGCACGATTTCCACCTGCTGCCGAGGTACTTTTAACCGCCAAGCCTCCCCATTTGCATCCTCGATTGACAACGACAGTCGCACGCAACGAGTCAGCGCCGTCGCGGACAACATCGAAGTCAATGACCTACCACCTGCATAACCCTTACAGCATCTATAAGCCCAAAACATCAAACTCACGCGTCTCCTCCCGACTCCAACCAACCGACCTGCTCAAAGTGGGGCCATTTACCGCATACGGCAGTCTGACATAGCAAACCGTGGATTACTGGAACGGCTGCAAACGTATACTTAGCCTTGCGATTATGCAGCAAAATGCGATCACATGAAGCGCTAAAGACCCTTTTTTGGGGGGAGGGGGGCGACGGCGCGGCGTTGGTAAAGTAGTGGGTTGTTGCTAGGAATCGGGGGCCGTTCATGCAGCCGTGTGGCACGGGCGGGTGTTGAGGGGTGAACTTTGGAAGCAGGAAGGGAAGATTGTTGTGGACGGCGATGTAGGTATACGACTTCTTATGCTGGGCGTTGGGTTTGAGGGAGTCGGTTGTGTATGTTGATTAACGATACCGGCTTGAGTGCAAGTGTCTAGAGAGATATGGAGAGAAGCACCGGTTTTGTTGAGAGTTTGGTACAACTATGCACCAACGCTTGATGCGGAGCCGCAGAACGCCTTTCTACAACACAACCACCAAATACTTCTACTTAAGAAAGCTGCTATGAAACCTTCCTATCCTTCCCAACTTCCACTAAACCTTCCCAAACTTGCTCCATCGCAGCAGACACGGCAATGCACAACCCTCCTCCCACGGACCCACGCACCCCTACCCCTCGGGCTTGATCCCGTGCCGCTTCCCTCACAAGATCTCACCCGTCATCCGCATTCCACCAACCCAACCCACACACCACACTACATCCCCCTAATTAACCCATTTCCACTCCTTCAATACAGCACCCTACAGGGAACAACCCGCCAACCCATTCACCACACGACTCGCCAAACAACGGGAGGTAAGTATACCGGTGTGACAATCCACTCTTTCCACACAAGGAACCCAGTTCGCAGCCAATGACCGTGCGCTGCGCGTGCGCATCCCGTGCAGTAGAGCGAGTGTCGCGCTTTTCGCTTTTTCTCGCCTTTTTGCGCTGTGCAGTGTGAGCATGGATCAAGGTGGTTGTGTTGCAGTGATCGATGAGAGTTGGGGAAGTTGCTGCATGGGGAAATGGCGGGTGGGTTGTGGTGGGTGTTGTTGTCTTGGGTGTGGGATGGGGTGGTGAGGTGGGTTGTAGTGGGCTGCGAAGAGAGGGATGATTCTCTCTCATTCGTGCTTTTACCTATTTATTGACGTTACAGTGGTAGCAGGGCATAATTGTGCAAACGTTGGACAGGTGGTTCTTCCTAATATTACATGTTTCTACCTTCCTTCGTAGAAAGTATGGCCGTAATCTCGTTTTCCTGTTTCAACACCAAGTCATCGCGTCTTGTCTATCTCGCATAGTCTTTGACTAGACAGCGCTCACTTCGGCCTTCATGACCTTGTCGTCAATCGGTTTTGTAGTTTCCAGAACTGGTGTAGTGACCGCTGAATCGTTTCGCTGGATGTGGGGTATAGAACCGATGGTCGGGGTTGTTGTTGAAACGGGACTCGCAACAGGACTGAGGTTGCTGAGCGTGCAGTTCAGACGTAACATCCGGTACGAACTTGATTCGTTTGAGAAGCGGAAAGAGGGAAATTCTGTAGCGTCGAAGAAGGGTCGCATTTTGCAAAGAACGGCTTTGGAGATTTGTTTCAAGAGACGGAGTTTGAAGGGCTGTGGAATGTTGTACTGGAGCATCACTAGAAGCCTATAGAGCTCTCTATATAGTTTGCATTTCTCGTCTGGCCCCTCGGAGATGGCGCAGTCTCGATCGAATGGACTTTAAATGAACGGACGAGCGCGCTTGAAGAACAATACTAAGACATTTTGGTGGCGTTTGAGGAAGGGATGAGCGTTGTAAGCGATATTGGGAGCGATGAAAGTAGAGTCGGCCGATATGAAGATGCAAGATCAGATGTCGAAAAGCAGACAAGGTAAAGAAGATGAGCGGGCCATGTGAGATTTGAGTAAAAAACTTCGACCCGGATTCCTGAAGTGGAACACTGTGCCACTTCGTGCAAGCAGGGCATCAGCCTATCAGTACCCAATATCACACGTCGTAACATCCTCGACAAAATGCTTCTCGCGATAGCTCCTCGTCCACCAAAGATACCACGGTACAACATTCATCTTAATCTTGTGACCCAACCTAAAATGACGATGTACGAAGTCAGTGTATGTCTCACACGCAGTCCGTACATGGGAGATCTTACCAAGGCGTATCCTGCACCGTCTTGACCACACTCTGACTCTCATCGAACGCAGTGTCGATACGAGCACGTCTCAGAGTCTCGTACGCATCAAACGCTTCTTTGACCGGTACACCCTCATCGCGTTTACTCTCCATCCACTTGCCCAAGCAGCGCGAGAACAAAACACCATCTTCAAACACGATACCCGTCGACTCGCCTTGCGGAGGCATAGCATGAGCAGAGTCTCCAATCAGCATAACGCGGTCGGTAGCCCATTTGCCTCCCTTGGAGAGCGTAAACACAGGCCAGAGATACAAACCCTCTGCGTCTTCAATCCAGTGCGCAATTTGCGGGTTCGCAGCACCAGAATACCGCTCCAGCATTTCGTCCCGCGTCTTTTGTGCATCGGCGCCTGCTGCCTTCCAGCCGTTTCGGTCGGCGATCTCGGGGACTTGCATCAGTGCGCCTACGTAGATGCTTTCGCGGGCTTGGTCGTGGAAAGACGTCAGCATCATGCCGCGACGGCCAAAGTTCATGCCGCTGACGTCAAAGTGCGTGGGCTCGTAGTCTTTGCTGTCTTCGGACATCTTGCGTCGTGGGGCAAAGCCAAAGGCGTTGCAGATTCCGCTGTACATTGCTTTGCGCTCGGGCTCGACGTGCTTGAGGCGGGTGACGCTGTGGATGCCGTCGCATCCGATTAGTATGTCTGCGGTTGCGCTTCCGCCGTCTTCAAAGTCGATGGTGACGCTGGTGTCGCTTTCGCTGATCTTGGTCGTTTTCTTGCCACAGATGAGCTTGATGTTGGGCTGCTTCTCGATGGCGGCGAGCACTCCCTTGAGTGCTTCTCCTCTTGTGATTCGCAAAGCAGTAAATGGAGGGTCGCCCAATCCCTTTCCGTCTGGTCCTTTGAATGAGCTCTCTGCTATCTTGACGTTGGTGTAGAGGTCGAAGACTTCGACTGCGAGACACTCGGCGCCATATCCTTTGGCGCGGATCTCATCGAGAGCTCCTAGATGTGATAGGAGACGCAGAGCGTTGGGTGTGAGGTTTACGGCACCGCCGATTGTCGCAGGCTCAGGTCGGATCTCGAATATGGTGATGTTTGGTGGTGATGAAACAGGCGCGAACTTTGTGAGGGAGAGGGCAGTTGTTAGGCCAGCTATGCCACCACCTAAGATGATGATGTCCATCGGCGTTGGAGAGGCCATGGTGGGATGTGTGCGAGTATTGCTTTTCAGGGTCGTAGTAACAGCCCTTGATAGACACTAGGCCTGTCTTTGAATGACTTGTGTACTCGTCAACGGTGAGATGTCGAAGAGTGAACTTGAATTTCAAATACAGAAAGCTGTACATATACACTTTACCCCAGAATGCTTGCCACACATCGGATGGGAACCCCTTGTTCGTGTACCCGTGGAGGCCTGACCTAGCGCGGACTGTGCACGTAGGTGGTACTCCGGCGTGTTGAGTTCTCGGTAAAACGTTGGGGAACCGATCAACTAACATCATCAGTCTAGCAAGCCCGAACGGCCCGCCAACGTTGATTTATGCGCATGCCTGGTTGCGATATATGCAGGGCTCCTGTTATCAGTAGAAAAGGATGTCAGGTACAGGCAAATCCTGGGTAACAGAATGTTGGTATTTCGCTACAGATCCAAAATCCAAACGCCGGTCCATCATGCCTACTAACTTACAGGATATACATTGTGCGCTAACAAGTTCTCTATCCACTGAAATGCCTCTACTGCTTCTTCTGCGCGTTGGGGCCCATCTCCTTGCTAAAGGCGAAGTATGAAACCTCGAGACTGGTGAGGGCTCGGATGCCGACCAGAAGGATGAGGAACAGCGGGATAATGGCAGCGAATCCCATGAAGATGCCGGGTGTGAAGTACTGGTACTTCTCGAACAGGCCGCCCTCCGTCGAGTTTGCCCGCTTGGCATGCGAAGAGAGATCGCGCTTCAGCTCCATCTGCACGGACTCTGGGAAGGAGGTCTCCATCTCGTAGGTGTGGTGCTCGAGCGACTCCTTGGCTTGCGCCTCGGTGGGAGGGGTGGTGATGTAGATGAAGGTGTAGTCCTGGGACTTGGCCGAGTTGACAATCAGGTTGTCGAACTTGGTGTCTGCACTGGTCAGCCCGGGTAAAGTATGCTGAGTATGTACTGCCTACCATCGCGTTGAAGTTGCTCGATGCGGAACGCCTGCGAGCCTGGGCGCACTGGGTTGGTTGTTCGCCCGAAGAATCCACCATCCTGCCCACACTTGGACACCAGATGGTCGGCGAGGGCTCCCGCATCGACAGTGCCAACAACGTCGGGAATCGCCACAGTCGACTTGACTTCGGAGTGCTGGCCAGACATGTACTGGCTCAGTTGTGGCATGGCGCGTCCGTCTGCGTAGTCGGCGGCGGAAACGCCATCCTGCTCGATGATGATGTACGACTTGGTCGGGCAGTGCTCGAGGGCCTTGAGGATGTCGACGGTGACTTCGGATGACTCAGCGATGGCGGCGTCGTTGTTGGGGATTAGGAGGCTGCAGCTGTTAGCTTGGACGTCAGGATGCGCGGCGTGCGGTGACGGAGGCGTACTCGGCCGTGGAGAAGAGGAAGAAGGGCGACGTGTTGCGGAAGGCGAGGGCCGAGGGCAGCGCTGCCAGAGCGAGGGCGCCGACGAGTGACTTGACCATGATGGGGGCGGGTGCGGGTGCGTGGGTGGTCGGCGGGCGATGGTGTTGTTCGCGCTGTGAAGCTCCAACGCGGCGACCATGGGCGCCCGGAACTAGCCGTAGCCTCGATTGGCCGGACCCTGGGTATGACGCGCCCATGGAATTTCCGATGCGAGCGACAGCTCCCACAGCAGCAATCAATTCACGCGCTCCTCCAAAGCCCGACGTGTCGGCGCCCGGCTGCTCCGTCGCATGAGTCGACCTTGACTCATCACCGCGCCTGCATAATCTGCAACTGCCTTTCTTAGTGTCCTTTCACGCACCTTCCCCAGTATAAGGCTCGCCACTGCAATCCCACCATAGCAACAAAGCGACCGCCCTCTCTTTACCAGTTCAGCAGGCCACACATTTATTAGAGCCTGCAGCAATAATCTTTCCTTTCCACCCTCGGCGGTTCAACGCTTACACACCATCGTTTGGCCAGCGCTCGAAACTGCCGCAATCCAATCGACAACATGTCGGCTCCTGCACTTGCACCTCAACCACCTGCCGCAGGCCCATCCGATGCCTCTAGAGGCGCACGAGGACGGCGGCGACCACGAGGCCGAAATACAAACGCGAACACGGCCGCACAGTCAGAGCAAGCAGAGCAAACACAGGCGCAAGCAGCACAGCAGCCACAGAGGGGCGGCGGGCGAGGTGGTAGAGGACGAGGGCGAGGAGGCCAGGCCGACAGTGGACGGCCGTCGCAACCCAATGCGGCTGCCCTCGAATTTGTGCCCTCATCCGTGCAACAAGCAGCGCATCGAGGTGGAAGAGGCGGACGTGGCGGTGCGCGAGGTGGCCGGGCAAGAGGCGGCGCAGAGCGGTTTCCACAGCGCATGGCTGCTGGTGGCCGTCAATTCGGTGGACAGTTGACTGCAGAGGACGATGCGGCATCTGCCATCTCAGAACCTCCGCCAGGACTACAAGCAGATGCGCCAGCCTTCCAGCCAGGCCAACCCATCGCCCCTCGCAAATCACGACCGCCGCGCCAGAAGCAGCCGCAAGCACCCAAATCCACCGCGCCCGACATCGCCACCAGGACACACGAGGATATCGATAATGGTCACTACGAATGTGCCATTTGCACTGAAGACGTCACAAGGCGTTCACGGGGGGTATGGTCGTGCAGAACATGCTGGACTGTGTTCCATCTGGGCTGCATCAAGAAGTGGTCAACAAACGAGGGTTCGGCTGCAGCGCGACAGCAGACTCAAGACGGAGAGACGCCTCCTCCAAGGCAATGGCGCTGCCCCGGCTGCAACCTACCAAAGGATACTCTACCCAAGAACTTCCACTGTTGGTGCGAGAAGGAGCTGGATCCGCGCTCAACACCCGGTCTGCCACCATTCTCGTGTGGTCAGACTTGCTCACGACCCCGACTTCTCCCCAAGCCTTGTCCACACCCTTGCGGCTCGACGTGTCATGCCGGCCCCTGTCCTCCGTGTGGCTTGATGGGTCCCACGCAACACTGCTTCTGTGGGAAGAGATCTGTTACTCGCCGCTGTATTGATACCGATTATGAGAACGGCTGGAGCTGCGGCGATGTCTGTGGAGGACTGATGTCTTGTGGTGAGCACAGATGCGATCGACCTTGTCACGACGGTCCTTGTGGTGCCTGCGAGGTACGAGTGCCGGCACGTTGCTATTGCGGACAGACACAAAAAGACATTCTATGTCATGACCGGGCAGAAGAGAAGCAGAGCAGCCAGTCCCATGTCGCCGCAGACGGTGCTGCCACAGTAGAGACCTGGATAGGATCCTTCCAGTGCCCTAATCAGTGCGGACGCTCATTCGATTGCGGGAAGCACATTTGTGAGATGGCATGCCATTCACAGGACACGCAAGCGCCTCATTGTCCGCGATCTCCAGACCGAGTCAACCGCTGTCCTTGTGGCAAGACCGCTTTGAGAGACATGTCTGGCAACCCACGCACAACCTGCGAAGATCCGATCCCCAATTGCGACAAACCTTGTGGTCAAACACTCGCATGTGGTCACCAGTGCGAGCAGCTCTGTCACCAGGGCGAATGTCGGCCTTGCTTGAAGACGGTTGATATATCATGTAGGTGTGGACGCACATCATCCCGGACCATTTGCCACCAAGGCATGGACGAGCCTCCCCAGTGCAGGCGTATCTGCAAAGTCTCGCTGAACTGCGGGCGCCACGAGTGCGGCGAGCACTGCTGCGCTGGAGAGAAGAAGGCTGCGGAACGTCAGTCGAACCGCCGTAAAGGAAGGCCTTTGAATTCGGCTCCTCGCCAGGCTCACGAGAACTTTGAGGCCGAGCACATATGCACGCGGAGCTGTGGTCGACAACTGAAGTGCGGCAACCCCGAACATCGCTGCCAGGAACTGTGTCATAAGGGTCCGTGTGGCACATGTCGCGATGCCATTTTCGATGAGCTTAGCTGTCACTGTGGACGGACTGTGCTACAACCACCATTACCATGCGGTACAAAACCTCCACCGTGTCGCTTCAAGTGCGAGCGACCTAAGGACTGCGGTCATCCCCAGCTGGACCACAGTTGCCACCTGGATGACCAGCCATGTCCGAAGTGCGCTTTCCTTACTGCCAAGCCATGTCTATGTGGCAAGAGTGTTCTCAAAAACCAGCCATGCTGGCTGACCGAGGTACGCTGTGGCCAAGTCTGCGGGCGTACGCTCAAGTGTGGCACACACAAGTGTCAAAAGCAATGTCATCGACCCGGAGAGTGCGAAGAGCCATGTACCCAGGCCTGTGGCAAAGAGCTGAATACCTGTGGTCATCCGTGTTTGGCACCCTGTCACTTCCCTCAACCCTGCAAAGAAGAGAAACCGTGTCCCCACAAGATCTTTGTTACTTGCGAGTGCCAGAGGATTAAGCAAGAGGCCAAATGCAATGCTTCGCGCAACGGAGATGGCAACCAGAAGAAGGTGCTCAAGTGCGACGAAGAGTGCGCAAGGTTAGAGCGTAATCGTGTTCTAGCACTTGCACTCAACGTTGATCCGGAGCACCAGAATGACCACATTCCATACTCAGACGCCACACTGAACATGTACCAGCAAAATTCTACCTGGGCAGCGACTCAGGAGAAGCAGCTTAGACTTTTCGCTGCCGACCCAGATGAGAAGCGTCTTCGATTCAAGCCAATGCCCCGTAGTCAGCGCGCCTTCATCCACCACCTGGCTGAAGACTTTGGCATGGACTCAGAGAGCATGGATCCAGAACCGCATCGACATGTGGCCATTTTCAAGACCCCCAAGTTCGTCATGGCACCAATGCGGACACTAGCAGACTGCGCCAGAACTCGTCAAGTTCAACAACGTCTTGCGCCAGCGCCAGCACCAGCAGTGTCTTCCACTGCCACGTTACGCCCCAAGCCCAGCAACACCAATTGCGACCCCTATAACGCGTTCCTCATCTTGAACCCTCGCTTTGCGCTCACTATCGAAGAGCTCAACCCCATCATCAAGAGCGTACTCGCAACGACGTCGTTCCGATGCGAGCTAGAGGTCACCTTCCTTCCCAGCGAAGCCGTAGCATTGAAGCCACCTCTAGCAGCTCGGCTCAGCATTCCAGAACGCGAAATGCAGACCATGCTCGAATCGATCCAGGCACCGCTAACCAAAGCTCTTACCACGCAAAACATCGGCAAAAGCATGCAACTTGCGCGTCTCGACTCCTCACTCAACATTCTCCGCAAAGAGTCTGATGTAGGCCCCGGTTCAGGCTGGAGCGAAGTGGCAGCCTCGAAGGGTGTTCCAAACCGCCAGCTCCCAAAGACAACTTCCTTCGGGAACAAGGGCGGGTTTGCGGTGCTCAGCTTGAGTAGTAAGAAGAAGAAACAGAAGGAAGTACCTGTTGAAGTTGCGGAGAGCTGGGAGGAGGCTGAGGAGGAAGAAGAGCAGAAGGAGAAGGTTAGTGGGGCTAACAGCGCTGTCATGAGCGAGGATGAAGGTGCGTCCAAGGATGTGCCTGAGGCTTCGGGCAGTACACCAGCTAGCGACGAAAATCATGTCGCTTCGAAAGATGATGCTGAGCTCGCCACTAAGCCACTACCGGGACGTTGGTCGGATCTGGATGATGAGTAAATTAGCATCTCCGTGTGTAAAACGTAGATACCGACGAAAAACTATGATAGTACCAAACAGCTTTCTCATACTCAATGATCTACAGCAACCGTGAAGTCAGAAGAAGACGAGCCACTTTGTTTTTCTTTGTCCAAACTGTTCGCAGCTCTATAGGGTATGTAAGTCACGGTATCAAAACCCTTTTGTTGAATCGTCATAACAACCAATAAATCAACCAGTCAAAAACGCCTAACATATGCAACCCACAACTCCATCTCCCAAGAGCTTCCCAGTAGCCACTATGGCAAAGCGCCCAAACTCAGAAGTTATTCTGTTCCCTCTGCTGCCTCTCCGCCTCACCCTCGCTAACAATCCTCTTACCCAGCCACTCCGTCTGAAAGCTCTCATTCAGCTTCGACAGATCCTGGATGACCAGCCGGCAAGTCGCCATGACAGCTTCCTTGGGTGTGATAGACCCGTCGGTTTGGACGCGCAGTTCAAACGTAGCGAAGAGCGGGTGGGGCACTTTGTAGGCGGCGAACATGACGGCGGGGTTCTTGAGGAGCCGCTGCGCGAGGAGGTTGCCGAGCGTGTGGTCTTCTTTGTTGAAGGTGAAGACGGCCGTGTTGGGGACGCCTGTGCGAGGGTTGTTAGTTGATGGGTGGGAGGGAGTGTGCATGGAAGGGATGGGGTGAAGTGCTACATACGTGTCTCGGCCTTTTCCTCGACTTTCTGCTGGCCTTCGTCTAGCAGGAAGAGCTCGAATCTGTTCTCGTAGTCGTGGTCAGCTTTGTGCGTTACATGCCGGTTGTCTTTTGAGCTGTCGCGCAGTGCACAGTTTGGATTTTCCTCTATCAGTTGGCCGATCTTCGAGGAGAAGGATGTGCTTGGGTTGTCGCTCATTGGTTGGGGGTATCGAGCGTCTCG